AGACCTAATATTAAATACTTGCATAATTTCGAACGTTCATATTTCAGGAAACAATGAGCTAAGACTTACATGTAAGATGTCTAAATCTACGCAATATCCCTTACAAACCTTAACGATAATTCGCTGAAATACAAGTTAGCCTAATATGTCATTAAGCAAACAAACGCTGGAGTTAATATTTGATATGCCGATTTTCGCTAATTTTAGACACATTCCAAAATATGCTCCCCATTTTTAACATTATATATATATATATATATATATATATATATATATATATATATATATATATATATATATATATATATATATATATATATATATATATATATATATATGAGCGTGCGCACAATGCGTAAGCAGCAATGGCTCATCCTGTAGAGTGCTGGGCGCCTCGCAGACGCAAATAGAACACAATATCTCTCTGAAGAATTTCAATACTGCACGTATAGCTAGCTATAACTATACCTATTATTGCAAGCTTGTGGGGGAGCACAGACATCCTGTCTGTAGAAATTGGAATGTTTTGCCGCCCTTTTTCTGAACAAAGAAAATTAAAAACAAAGTAGGCCCTACTTCAGCCATTTATTATAAAAAAATACTTAAGCCTTTTATGATGTAAGTGCAGAAGCTACTGGAAATCTTTGCCTGTATATTGTCAGTTCTAAACTCTTCTCCCTAAAGGTCCAGTAAGAACTATCCTTCATTGATCGAGTATGTTTCCAGCTACAGGAGGAAACTTTAATAACCCATGCACGAGCGCCTGCTTGCTGCATAACTTTCTGTATTAACTTGTCTGATTTTAATGTTCCAATTTGAAAGGCCCGAAAATTGCAAACTTAAATGTTAATAGTTTTTTCCAATACATTGATGAGATTCGTATCATGCTGTCGGGTAGCCTCTTCGATATTTTATCAATTAGTAAATCAAAAATTGATCATTCAGTTCCGAGTTCTGAAATTTACTACTGTACGAAACAGGGGCGTAGGAAGCTTAGAAAAGTTGGGGGGGGGCAGGCTTTGAGGGGCACTTTCAAAAAAAAAGGGCATCTCAAAAAAAATTTTTGGCGACCCCCCCCCCTCCCCCCCCGTCGCCAAAAAAATTTCGGTCAGTGTAAAGGGCACTTTGCTCCTGTAAAAAGGGCACTTGCCAAAACTTGGGGGGCCATGGCCCCCCTGCCCCCCCCCCGGTTCCTACGCCCCTGGTACGAAACACATTAAGGTAAGCTACTGACATTCTAGTATCTAGTCAAAATCTGGTCACACAGTGATGAGGTAACTTAAGAAAATATATTATAAAATATTCTCCCACTAAAAGCATCTTTGCTCCCCAAGATTTGAGTTAACAAGATATAAGAAGACATGGTAAGTGGTAACATTTCGATTTTATTTCAAAATCAATATCAACCCTCCTTCAATCACAAAATAAGCTTGTATTTAAAAGTGATCGCTTATAAATGATAGAAATGTTTTCTCACTTATTTCTATATACATTGATTGTAGCACAACAGAACCCGTGAACTTCATTTATAGAATTAAGAATAACTAGTCATCTTTCACATTGTGAGTAGCCATATGTTCTTGCAAGTTTCTGGAATGACCAAAACCACGGCCACAAAGAGAACAAACATATTGGATACCACCAAACGTTTCATCAGTTTGTCTTTGATGTTGTTCCAAACCCCTTGATGTTTCAAATCTTTTGTGGCAAATATCACATTCATATTCAAAAGTTCTTTCAACATGTACTTTCTTATGACTTGCCAAATATCTTGACACTGCAAAGCCTTTATCGCAAATATCACATTTATAAGGTTTGTCAACATGTGTCTTTTTATGTTTCAATAAGATGCTCAAACGAGAAAATCTTTTATTACAAACATCACATTCACGACTTTTGTCTTCAATATGCGTTGTTTTATGTTGCTTTAAACCACAAGACATGGTGAATTTTTCCTTGCATACTTCACATTCATACGATTCGCCTCCAGCGTGTCTTCTTTTAATCGTATGCTGGTGTAAAGTCCATTTTGATTTAAACTTTTTCTTGCAGCTATCACATTCAAAAGGTTTTTCTTCAGTGCATGTTGTTTTATGTTTTTCAACACCACATGTCACTGTAACTGTGTGTTGTGTTAAAGTCCGTAATGTTTTAAACTTTTTCTTGCAACTGTCACATTCAAAAGCTTTTTCTTTAGTGTGCGTTTTTTCATGATGCTTTAAACCATCTTTATATATAAATTTTTTCTTGCAAATATCACATTCATAAGGTTTGTGGCCAGAGTGCAATCTTTTGTGTCTTTCCAATTGGGATGAATAAATAAATTTCTTCTCACAGACATCACATTCATACAGTTTTTCTTCCGTGTATGTTGTTTCACGTTTTTCAAAACCACATGCCATTGTAACTGTATGTTGTGTTAAAGTCCGTAATGTTTTGAACTTTTTCTTGCAACCCTCACATTCATGAGGTTTTTCTGCAGTGTGTGTTTTTTCATGGTCTTTTAAACCAGCTGGATATGTAAATCTTTTCTTACAAACATCGCATTCATAAGGTTTGTCTCCAGTGTGCAATTTTTTATGTTTTTCCAATCTGCTTGAAATAATAAATCTCTTATGGCAAACATCACATTCAAAAGGTTTTTCCCCAGTGTGTGTTAGTTTATGTATTTTTAAGTTGTTTGAAAATGGAAATTTCTTGTGGCAAACATCGCATTCATAAGGTTTTTCCCCAGTGTGTGTTCGTCTATGTACTTTTAAGTTGTTTGAAAATGCATATCTCTTCTGGCAAACATCACATTCATATGGTTTGCCTCCAGTGTGTATTCTCTTGTGTTGAATGATACTTCTTTTTGTTGTAAATGCTTCCTTACAAATATCGCATTCGTAAGGTTCGACTCCTTGATGTGTTCTTTTGTGTCTTAGTAAATTGCTCGAATCTGTAAATCTTTTCTTGCAAACCTCACATTCATAAGGTTTTTCACCAGTATGTGTTCTTTTATGTTTTTTCAAACTGCTCGAGTCTGTAAAACGTTTATTGCAATCGTCACATTGATAAGGTTTTTCTCCAGTGTGTGTGTTTTTATGTATTCGTAAGCTCCTTGAAAATATAAAGCTTTTCTTGCAAACCTCACATTCATAAGGTTTTTCGCCAGTATGTGTTCTTTTATGTTTTTTCAAACTGCTCGAGTCTGTAAAACGTTTATTGCAATCGTCACATTGATAAGGTTTTTCTCCAGTGTGTGTGTTTTTATGTATTCGTAAGCTCCTTGAAAATATAAAGCTTTTCTTGCAAACCTCACATTCATAAGGTTTTTCGCCAGTATGTGTTCTTTTATGTTTTTTCAAACTGCTCGAGTCTGTAAAACGTTTATTGCAATCGTCACATTGATAAGGTTTTTCTCCAGTGTGTGTGTTTTTATGTATTCGTAAGCTCCTTGAAAATATAAAGCTTTTCTTGCAAACCTCACATTCATAAGGTTTTTCGCCAGTATGTGTTCTTTTATGTTTTTTCAAACTGCTCGAGTCTGTAAAACGTTTATTGCAATCGTCACATTGATAAGGTTTTTCTCCAGTGTGTGTGTTTTTATGTATTCGTAAGCTCCTTGAAAATATAAAGCTTTTCTTGCAAACCTCACATTCATAAGGTTTTTCGCCAGTATGTGTTCTTTTATGTTTTTTCAAACTGCTCGAGTCTGTAAAACGTTTATTGCAATCGTCACATTGATAAGGTTTTTCTCCAGTGTGTGTGTTTTTATGTATTCGTAA